AGCGTTCATGTTCGGGAGGGGATACGCGTCCTTCTTCGAGATCTCATTAACCTTCCGGAAATCTAAACAGAACCTATACTTTCCGGAAGGTTTCCTCACCATCACTATTGGATTGGACCATTCACTGAAAGAGGGCTCGATTATTCCGCTTTTTAGCATTCTATCAACTTCCTCGCGCACGGCGTCTTGTATTTTCGGGGATACAACGTAACACCGTTGTTTGATCGGTTTCTGTGCCCCGACGTCAATACGGTGTTCTGTCAGGGTGGTTACCCCCGGGTTATCGTTTGGAACTATCCCCGCTTCTTTCACTACGCTCTCTATCTGTGCGCGCTGGGAGAGTCAAGCTCGGGTAGCCCGCTACAGGCGTGTTCGGACGGCTCGGTAGCGTTAAAACGGTACCTATGTGAGGGACTTCGCGAGAAGAACCACTCGGATTTGGCTAGATCTAACCCTATTCCAAACTTGCACAAAAAATCCATCCCTAGGATGCACGAAACTGCCAAATTGGGTAATAATCCCACGAAAAGGGTGTGTTCTATGCCGCCTAACTTGAGTGGTACCTCGCTAACCTCATCTATTTTCGCCACTTGGCCATTCGCCGTCCGGATTTTTCCGCCTCGGTATCGCGATATTGGTAATCTGAGAGATCGCACGAGCTTAATTCCCTCCGTCCCTATCAGCGTTCTACTCGAGCCTGAGTCGACAAGAGCTCTTAACGGTCGTCCTTTTATGTATACTTCGAAATATTGCAACGGGGGAAATTCGGTATCGTCTAAGGTCACGTATGATTCTATACCCCCGGTGCCTGTAATTTCTCGAGTCCGTTCCTTTTGAGCCGATAGGACCCGATCTACCGACTCTCTCCCTCGTTTCCCGCGCAATTTGGACACGTTCGCGTCGTGTGCTGTTTCTTTCCGCACCGATAACAATGCAGACTTCGCGTCTGCGTACATTCTCGCGATCGGTGTCCCTTTTGTCCACAATTCCAACATTTCATGTCGGCTAATCGGCTACTCGCGGTGGATGAGGAGGGTGTCGTGTCCGTACCCGCGTTATTCACGGCGGCTACCGGAGGCCTCTTCGTCTCGGTAGCTTTCCCCCTTTTCTTGGGCGCGGTCGCGGGGACTGCGGCCGCGGCGACCGTTTTCGGGTGTCTAGGTGATCGCGATGCTCCCTTATACGCGAGTTCCGGAAAAATAGACCGCGTTGTTGTCGGCTGTCTATCTAGATCGTAACATTCCTCGATCTGCGACGCGAGGGTTTCTAATGACCGAAAATCATAAATTTCGTTACGCCTCACAGCTATACGCAACCTCGGTATCATGTTTCTATGCGCGTAATTTAGCTGTTCGTTTAGCTGCCATGGGGGGTCCAATCGTTCGAACAAGGCCTGCATGCAGGTTATATAATCGGCGACGGGTTCGTCTTCCCCCTGCTTGCGTCGCATTATCTCGTCCCGCAAGGTGAATTGGAAGTTCGGGCATCCAAATCGCGCACGCCACGCGGCCTCGAATTGCCCCCAGGTACGCCAAAGATGTTGATTCAGACGAAACCAATGGGCCGCGGTGCCCGATAAAAAGAACGGCAGACATTTAAATATTTCGTCGTCATCTAAGGGAATTAATTGCCGACCCTGCTCTATACGAATGAGGAAGGCCTCCGCCTCCCCGTCGCGTGCCCCGGAAAAATTTAAATTCCACTTTCGCATTACGTTATACGCGTCCACGGCGAAATTCGGTTTTACGCGAGGGCGATACGGCTCGGGATTTCTCCGCGGCTCCGGGTGCGTCTCTGTTGGCTCTGGGGGATGTATCCTGATTCGCGGTTTCGAGGACCACGCTAGGGCTTCGCCCCCGACAGCACCTTCCTCGGTATCCGACTCCTCGTCTGACGCTTCCGATATTTCAGGGGTCGGCATATGCTCTCGCCCTATTAATTGCGCGGCCTCGTATCTCAATAATCGAGCCCTAAGGGTGGGGAGGATCCCTTTGACGGACAGCTTTCTCTCCGCGAGGGCACACCTCACTTCCTCCTTTGATAACTTTCGAATCCACCGAAATTGTTCTTTTGTCGACATTTCGTTTTATGGTTAGTGACGGTGTGAGGGAAATGAGATCTCGAAGGGGAAGATAGATAGTACGCGGACCGTGACCGGATTGACTAAACGTACGCTCCCTCCCTCAACTGTCTCGCCAACTAACTCTTTCTCGGTATCTTTGTGAGCGTTGCCTAAATTAGACACCGTCAATCCTTGATTACGCCGCTTGGTCACGATACTCCCCCTCCTAGAACCCGAAAATATGTTGCGAACGATATTCTATAAATTCCTAGTTAATAGGAAAGTCACTCACAGGCGTGAATACTCGGCGCGAATATCTCTTGAGGAGATAAAGAAGGGGCGAGAAGAAGAGAGAAGAAGAAGAGAAAAAAAAATTCTATTCTTATTCCTAATTCGATAAACAGAAAGAAACTAACAAGTTCGCGAAAGGCAGCGTATGCGAGGAAGTGGGAGAAAAAAAAATGTTCCTTTGTATACACGGACGTCCGTTTCTGAGTCGAGTCTCGCTAAGGAATTTCGGGAATTCGCGTAAACATCTATTCACCAATATTCGTTCTTAGCTCTCGGTATCTTGACCATAATATCTGAGGACGCGATAATCCTTCAAGAACAATACGTGTTTACCCGCTTTTAGACTCGACTCGACGAGTGGTAAATATTTCCGCGAAGAGATCGAAAGAAAGAAGAAGAAAAAAAAAATTCGTCGCTCTTCAATATTATTCCCTATATTGGGACAAGAATATTCGCCGACTTTGTATCCGACGAAAAACTCGGTATCAATCAGGTGCCTATAATTCACTCGATATATCAAAGAAAGTCGTAAAAGGCGTATGAGCGCGCTACCTTTGTAATACTATACTACGCGGTCGGGTTTACGATGCCGCGCGCGACAAAGAAACGTGTCGGTGGTCGCTCTCTGTCATACGCGTAGCGCTCCTTCGTACTCGTGCACTTAACGCGATGGCACCTCAAATTCGAGTCCCCCCCGTTGTGACGGGAAGTCTCGAGATATCGAGACAAGCACAATGGGAACAATCTTAATAACGCGGGAACAATAATAATTGGGGACAAAGTAATACAAATGCATGCAATAAACAAAAGTCATCGACTGTATTAAGTCAAATAATACTCGGAGAATCTCCGACGGAGATCCCCGGCTCGGGCGAGACTCAAGTCAGCGCCCGATAGACAAAGAAAAAGGAAAGAAAAACAAAAGAGAAGTATTTCTCTCACCCTACTGTCTCTCCGTTACCCGAAACGACACGTATTCTCCTTTATTAATTATCCTCTCTTTCGAGAGGGCCCCACGTTGGGCGCCAAATTTGCGACCGCCTCTCCGTCCTCTCTCGTCAAACTAAGAGAGAGAGGGCGAGAGAGACTGCTGCGCAACCTCGTCGTGCCGCTCTCCGTTCTCTCGATACTTGCTCGGTATCACTGATTGCTCGGTATCGTATCTTTTTGGGCGCCAGGTGCGGTCAGGCCGCACCACTCAACAATAGCTCAACTAATAATCAGCGGACACGACGGCTCGGCCTCGGTAGCTCGGTATCAACAAGGGGTAGAGTGTCGTGGTTCTTTCCGTAAGGAGATTCGGAATCGCAGTCCCGGAGAGAGAGAGGAAATCTCGATATTGATTGTACTCAGAAATAGGATAAAATAAGAATATATTTTCAGTTAATAGTATATAAATGGTGTGAATCAAAGTAGCTATAATTTTATTATCGAGCCGTTGGGAGATCGCTGGGTGTTATCGAAATCTTTAGTTATCGTTACTCTCCTCCCTTTGTAACCGGCTCGGAATCGAATGGATCATATACCAATCCAGCGTAACTTATTCTCAAATTTCGTTAATTAATGACTCGATACAATGCTACAAATATAATATACTACGATATGACTGTCGACTCGTTTCGGTGCCCCTCGGAGAGGCGAAGAAGGCAAAGATTTACGCAATAACTTAATGACGCGGAAATCGACGTGAGTCCCGTGAGTCTCTCCACTAATTCTCGGTACTAAAAGATTTACAGCATAGTTGCTCGGTATCGTTAATTTTCTCTATTGACTCACGGATCTCTGCCGAATCCGCGCTTACCGGACGATCGAGGAGGTGGCCTTACAATATTTCGCCGTCGCAGTGGGCTGTCGTGGGTCGTTGTCCCTGGGTGTGCTCGCAGGACACCGGCTTGCCGAACAGTGATTTCCTTTCGGGCCGGCGGGACCTCGGCAGGTACGCTGGTGGGGAGGGGGAAGACAATGCGCGCCACCCCGGCCCGGTTGCCAGGTTTCGCGGCAGCGTTGCGCCCCGCGCCGGACCCGGAATCGATCCTCGTATCGATTCCGGTGTCTCGCGGCTGGTCGCGGACTTCCGCCGCCAAATTCAAATTCCAGCCCTCGGGAGCGATGATGTAGCAGGTCCATTTTCGGCGGTCCCGTCCACACCTCGTATGGCCGTATGCTGATGTTCCAAACGACCTTTCTTGGCTGAGGGAAGTCGTTCCGGGGTGATCAATCCCGTTAGATCTCCGTGTTTCTCTCGAGGCGTGGTGGCGGGCCCCTCAGGGCATCATCCTTGTCGAGGGATGTAGGCGCCTTTTACTCCCTGATCTGGACTGCTCCTGTTCGTCCCATCGAAGCTGTAACGAGTTTCTCTGCAGTATCGCTTCCTTATTTTCTCGGTACCGTGTATAGGTTATCGTTCGTAATACTCACCGGGCCGGTCGCTCAGTCTCTGCTCCTCCCCTTTCGAGGTCGTTCCTCCGTCGCCTGTCCGGGTCCTCTTCTCCCTAAAACAATGGCCGTTCTCCTGGCCTACCACCTCGATCCCGATACAGAGTGCGGGCGAGCTAGCGAAAAGGTCGCTGCTCACCCGCACGAGACACAAAATAATATAGCGCTCTCAGACGCTTCCCGGCCGGGCGCGTCCGCCCTTGTGACGGGCTCAAAAAGACCACGTCACACTAGTTAGTATTAACCAAAGTTCTGCTTGAAGTTTTGGGCCGGGCAGCAGGAGATCATTCAGAGATGCTCCTGTGCTCGTTCGAAAGGAAGCGTTAAAAACTACCCGGATTTTTCCGCTTGGATCAGCTGTCTTAACCACTGCATGATGTGGCAGGTAGTATGAACCGTTGCCCTTAATTTCTGCTTCTGGCACCGGTTCCATGTGACCGAGTTCAGAATAATCGTTCAAGAACTCGACGTATGACTGGTAGAGTGAAGGGTTTCTCCGTAGTCGACTCTCGGCTGCCAAGAGTAAACGCAGTGCCCCGCACCTTGAATCTCCGAGCTCTAACGAGGGCTCTTGCTTACGGGGTAGGCGAACGACATAACGTCCATCTGAGTCACGAGTGTGGGTCGTTGCGAACAGCCTCTCACAATAAGCTTCGTCCGGGGTGAGTGGGCACTCCCCAGACACCTCTTCTAGCTCCCAAAACCGCTGTAGTTGTTGTCGCAGATCCTGTTCAATGGTTACATGGTGACTTGCGATGTCAATTCCGGGCGGATAGTTCGTATGTCCAATTGCGCTCATCAATACCCAGCCAAAGACGGTAGAGTGAGCATACGGCTCTCCGGGTTGTCCGTGTTTAACTCCACTCTCGATTAGCATTCCGTAAACGTCGGCTCCGAGCACCGCGTCTACCGAGGCTGGTTTGTCGTAGTTTGGGTCTGCCAGCTGGATGCCACGTAGGTGAGGCCAGTGCCCTTTGTGAACCTGTTTGCCAGGAGTAAATGGAGTAAGTTTGGACATGACTAAAGCAGTAGGTATAGCGATCCGTAGGGTCGAGGACAGTTCGCTTCCGATCATGAGAGATACTGCATGAGTCACTCTCCCTGTTGTTACCCCCTGCAGGCCGGAGACCGTCACGTTCACTCTCCGGCGGCGTAGTTGGAGCTGTTGGGCGACGCGTTCTGATACAAACGAGGCTTCAGACCCGGAATCTAACAATGCTCGCACCTTAACCGTACGACCCGAATGCGAGATCAGTTTTATCATGGCGGTCGCAAGAAGAACCGTGTTATTCGTAGTGCTTGCCAAGGCGGCTACTGCCGTTGCATCAGCTTGATGTACGGACTTTTCTAATGAGGTGATGGCCGCATTTGAGTCTTGAGGTATCGTTGGAGCGGCTGACTGTATTACCCCGATGTGCAGGAGTGAGTGATGCTTCTCCCGGCAGTGCCGGCATCGGTTGATAGACGGACAGGCCGCTGCTGCGTGGTTGTGGCCTAGGCAGTTAAAGCAGGCTTTACTCCTTCTCGCTTGGTCTCGACGTTGTTCTACGGAGAAGGTTTTAAACTTGTCACACGATCGGAGCGGATGGCGTGCCTTGCAGAGTGGACACTGAGATCCCTCTCTAGTGCTGGAGGAATGTGACGATACATCGGTTTTTCGTCCGTTGCGTTTGCCTCCCTTTGTTTCGCTTGTTATCGCTGTTGAACGCGGGTGAGCCGCTTCCAGGGCGCGAGCTCGGGTAAGGAGAAAGGTTTTCAGCTCGGTGAAGGATGGAAAGTTCGAACTCGACTCCTGTGACGACTCCCACAGGAGGCGCGTTGATGAATCTAATTTGTCAACTATAATGTGAACAAACCAGTCATCCCAATGTTCCACCGGTCTTCCCAGGGCCCGGAAAGAGCGTGATGACTGGTTCGCCGTACTGATCAATCTATTGATCTCTTGGGAGGACTGTTTGACAATTGGCGCGCTAAGCAGGAGTTCTCGCATGTGAGTCGTTAAGAGCACTCTTCGATTATCAAAACGCGAGACCAGTTCGTCCCACGCCAGGGCATAGCCTTCAGCTGACATTTCAATGCTTGAAACTACTGCGGCGGCCTCTCCGGCAAGACTAGCCTTAAGATATTGCAACTTCTGAATTGGTGCGAGGCCGTCCACTTCATGCACTAGAGACTTGAAGAGATCCCGAAACCCCTCCCAGGCCAGTGGGTCTCCGTCGAACGTAGGCAAATTGATTTTCGGTAACTGGATCTGGCGAAGGACGGAACCGGCATCCGCATTTGTCGACGTCGTCTCCATAGACTTAGTAGTCTGAAGGTGAGCTATGATGCGGGACTTCGTTGAAAGATAGTGCTCTTCAATTAGTCCATAGACGTCCTCCTTCATATAATCCGTTTGATCTATTTTGTCGCATATTACCAGGGAATCATGTGCATCAAAGAATTTTGCCCAATAAGACTCCAGGAGCTCAAGGCGAGCAGTCATGTACGCACGAGTCATTTTGTCCCTTCCGGCTTTGATCAAGTTGTCCCAGAAGCGCTCAATGTAGCCCGCGGTCGCCCGTTGTTTTTTAATTGCGGCTTCCATTTCAGAGAGCGGATCAGCCAATTAATTGCAGGCGCAAAGTGCGATGCTCACTCGGCGAGCGAATCGACGACGTTGGTATGCACAGTACGCGTGAAGAGCTTCGATGCCCTGCGCGTAGCGGCACACGCGTACAGCAGAGCGACTGCACCGAACTTGCGAGACACGCGGGGCGTGGAGCGACGGCGCGTGTTTGCGGGGCACCCGCGGTGATCGGAGCGACGGCACTGTAAGTGTGGCACACGCGTGGTGCGGAGCGACGGCACCGAACTTGCGAGACACGCGGGGCGTGGTGCGAAGGCGCGTGTATGCGCGGCACCCGCGAAGATCGGAGCGACGGCACTGTAAGTGTGGCACACGCGTGGAGCGAAGCGACGGCACCAAACTTGCGAGACACGCGGGGCATGGAGCGACGGCGCGTGTTTGCGCGGCACCCGCGGTGATCGGAGCGACGGCACTGTAAGTGTGGCACACGCGTGGTGCGGAGCGACGGCACCGAACTTGCTAGACACGCGGGGCGTGGAGCAACGGCGCGTGTTTGCGCGGCACCCGCGGTGATCGGAGCGGTGGCACTGTAATAACTTCGGTAAAATATGTTACTTACCGAGCACCATTGAATCCGTTAAAACTCACTGTGAATTCGTAACGACCGTTGAATCCGGCTCGAAGGACCAATTATATGGTTGGGGAATCGCCGGTCGAGAAATCGCCGGTTGGAATCCGACCTCCGTGAAGGAAATGTTACTTGAAGGGAATCGAACAGGTTACAATATCACTCACTTGATTTCACCGTATTATTATTTTATTGTTGGTTGAACATAAATTAACGCGATAGATTGTCGCCGGGTAGCAGTTCCGTTTCATCGCGGAATTATCGTTAGACTCAACGCAAAGCCGCGCGATGGAATGCGAGGACTCTCCCCTACCCCAAGCTACTCGATCCACCTAGAGTGTGAAAGCGTCCTCGACCCATCGCGGTGCGCGTAAAAACTCGTTTGTTGTTATTCGCAAATCGGAGCATTCCATGAGCTCCAATCGGGAGATATATTATTGATTCGACAGAGATCGACGGAGTCGTTAAAACAAACCCTTTTTCCTTCTGACTAACTGACTTTAATTGAAATTAAAATAGACAAAAAGGATGCTCAATATTTACCAGAAAAGGCTCGAACAATTGTATATATATATATATATATGTATTTACATTTTTTTCGTAGGAAACATTTGTCTATTTATTAGGAGGCACTTCTCCCCACGATCAAATAAAAGCTGGACTAGAAAAAATATTTACTAATAAATTGGGTACAAAATGTTCTTGGATGGGTCGCAAAGGCAACTTCGAAGTGAACACACTAATAATTATGGACATTTTAAAACGTATATAGAAATGTAAAAATATATAATTATAAAAAATTAATGCTTTTAATAGCATAATAATTGTACCGGTACTATATTAACTTTTTTTTTGTTACATTTGTAGGATCGACTAGAAAACACTTTCCATTTTTGACAGATAAACAATTTCAGAACTATGTGTCAGCTTGGTTAAGGCACTCAAAAACGCGCTACGACAGAGAACTAGTATGTTTTACGTTTTACTTGTATATTTTAGTTTTCGATATAACAACATATTTATTATTACTTTTATTTTTTACAGGCAAAGCAACAACGTCAATAAGTTTTATCATTTTTTAAGTATCACAATAATAGTTACTTGTGTATTTAGTGTATTCATGAATTTTTTATTTTTACGTTAAAATCAAAGAGAAATTAATATTTTTATATTAAAATGTTGGCTTGTATTAAAATTATTTAGCGATAAATGAATGCAATTAGATGATAACTTATATATATTACTAAAACTTCTTATTGCCCACATTAACAGCACTGACCATATTAGTTGTGTTAGCGATTTGTGTTATTATGTATCTTATAAGTTAATTATATCCCCCATAGCAAAAAATGTCACAGTGACATCACAATAAGCTCACAATAGAGTCACAAGGTGACAAAAAAATGTAATGTCACTGTGATGTCATTGTGAGATTATTGGAAGGTAACAGTGATATCATTAATCACAATTGAAGTGATATCATTGTAAAATGTCACATTGATATAACTAGTATATCACGAAATGTAACAATAAGGATAAAAAAATCTGTCATAGCAAGAAAATGTCACAGTGACATCATAAAGATGTTCTGCTGTGACGATAAAATATATATTTAATCGTCACAGCACAACATCTTTATGATGTTACAGTGATATCATCAAAAATGTCACATTGATATAACTAGTATATCACGAAATGTAACAATAATGATAAAAAATCTGTCATAGCAAGAAAATGTCACAGTGACATCATAAAGATGTTGTGCTGTGACGATCAACAATTAAAATTAGAAAAATAAAGTTTAATTTATGATATATTTAATAAATAATTTATATTTATTTATTTATATTTATTACTGCTATAACTAAATATATATTAGGGTGTCCAATTTAAAATAACACGTACACCACTTCAAATATCTCTTAAAATATTCATCAAATAAAGGGCATCATCTACTTTATGACCTCCTTTGAATCAAACAACTTTTATTTGAAATAATTTTCTTTAAAATAGTCGCGTTCAGCAGAATGACTGCTAAATTGTCATCTTGTCAAGACTTGACGTTGATTTGTTCTAAAAGTAAAAGAATCAACACGTCACCGTTAATGGACGCTACTTAATGTAACCTAATCTTACCTAATCCTAATGCAAGCGTGACCGTGTAGGCGCGTACACGTTGCCCAAAACGCTCTGCAGCGTATACGCAGTCTGTTGGTGTACCAGCACGTGTTTTTTATTTGCATAAGAGGACATTTTGACTCAAAATAAGTGATCTCAGAAGATCACTTAGCAATAAGAAGTGATTTAACAAAGTGAAAAACATCAACATAAAAATTAAGGCTAGTATATACAATATTTTTTATCTTATGTTTGTCTTATATTTTTTTCATATTTATTGTAACAAGATATCTTTTTTTCATTGTATATGTATATTTAGGAAAAAAAATATATTTTGTGAAAAATATGGGTCGCAAACGAAAACACTCAATATTTTATAGTGCAAGACATAAACGAAGATTAGTTGCAAGAAACACAGTAACAGATATGAATATGATAACTCATCAGACTGATTCTGCGGATTCTATGGCAATAATTAATAATAATAATGATCAACTAATTGTTGTTGATGAGAATGCTTCGTCTTTATGTGATTCTGATAAAGTATACTCAGATAGAAATCTAAATCAATATTATGATGAAAATAATATTAACTTTCTGAATGAAAATAATGCCTGTATGATACAAAATTACACGGATGCAAATAAGCTGCAAGCTATAGTCGATAACAATTATGAAAATCTGTGTTTAAATGATAACGAAACTTTTATACATGACATAAGTAAATGGGCTATTGAAGAAAAGATATCACTCAAATCACTCCGTCACCTTTTACAGATATTGCAAACACACACTAATTATACTTTGCCTAAAGATCCACGTACATTATTGCAAACTCCTAAATCAACTGAAATTATACAAATTGAAAACGGAGATTACTGCCACTTAGGTCTCGAAAAAGCTCTTCTAAAAATTATTGAAGAACGTAAAAGATTGAATTTTGCTCTTGATAACATTCAATTATTTATAAATATTGATGGTTTACCTATATATAAGTCTTCCACAAAGAGTTTATGGCCAATATTATGTGCAGATAATATTATAAACAATGTATATGTCATTGCCTTATATTATGGTGAAGGAAAACCAAAAAATGCAAATGAGTTTTTAAAAATGTTTGTAGGTGATGCTATTGCTTTTATAAATAATGGGATTGATTATGAGGGACAGATCATAAAAGTCGAAATTAAAGCAATAATTTGTGACGCTCCTGCTAAATCATTTATTTTAAATGTAAAAGGACACACTGGATATAATAGTTGCACTAAATGCATTATTGAAGGTGATAATATAGAAGGACATATATGTTTTCCATACACATCTAATATGATGTTACGTAATGATAAAGAATTTTTTACTGGATCTTATAATCTTGATTATCAAACTGGTGACACAATTTTAAAAAATATACCAAATCTAGGCTTAGTTACAAATGTGCCACTAGATTATATGCACCTGGTATGTTTGGGTGTTATGCGTAAACTTATTATGTTATGGCTTTCAGAACCACTTAAGATAAGATTATCAAATTCAGACAAAGAACAAATTTCTAAGAAACTAATAAAGTTACGCAATTATATTCCTTCTGATTTTGCTCGAAAACCAAGATCATTAAAGTATATCAAACATTGGAAAGCCACAGAATATCGGCAATTTTTATTATATACAGGTCCTATTATATTGAAAGGAATACTACAAGAAAATGTATATTTAAATTTTCTAACATTACATGTAGCAATCACAATTCTTGCACATCCTACTTTAACATATCAAACTTCTATTATAGAATATGCAGAAAATTTATTAAAACATTTTGTAAAATCATTTCAAGTTATCTACGGTTCTAAATATATTTCACATAATATTCATAATTTATTACATCTTGCTGCAGACGTAAAACAATTTGGTGCTCTGGATAAATTTAGTGCATTTAAATTTGAGAATTATATGTCTACGTTAAAGAAATTAATTCGTAAAACTAACCAACCATTACAGCAATTAACAAGAAGATTTGCAGAAATTGAGACAATACATAATAATGAAACATTCAAAATATATTCAAATTCATACGATATGGAAAAATGTTTTACACGCTCTCATTGTGATGGTCCTATTACGAAAGATTTCATTTCTGTACAACAATATAAAATTTTTTGCAATAATCAATATTATATTAACTGTGATGATCCAAAAAATAATTGCATTTCTTTTGAAAATGGACAAATAATGTCAATTTTAAATTTCATTAAATCTAATGACAATAAAATGTATG